CATTTTTGAAAGTACCACCATAGAAATCTCCAGATACTTGAAACTCTTTCAATTTTTAGTTATTCAAACGTGTTTCAAATGTCAGTGTATCTAAAGCTGCTGGTTTGGTGACTGGGATCTTTCTGAAGAGCTGTGCAACCTGATAGCTTTCAGTGTAGTGACTACAAACCACGAACAGAGAATTTACTGAAACAGCATTGTTCAGTTTAACTGCCTTTTCTTGTGTAAAACGACCAAACGATATAGTTAGTGCAAGCTTCTCCGGTTTAGAAACATAAGCTATAACATTTTTGACACTTTTCAGCAGTCACAGGCTATCCTAGTAATAATTGTCTGCTATGCAAAAAGTTGTAGAAGAGAAATGCAACAATCGGCATACTCCGTTGCCCTCACTCAGTGCGGGACGCCCAGTCGCCCAGCCGCGCTCCTGGTGGGCCGTCAGAAGTCAATCCCGTTTGACTAGGTGAGGGCTTTGCGTAAAGCAGCCGTTCCCGTGAAGAAACAAAATGCAGGCTTTTAGGGTGTACAGTGGCGATGGACAGTGTCGCTGTTTACAGGTGGATTGTAGAGCTCCTCTGTTTATAACAGAAATTAAAGAATTTGGTTACTGAGAAGTGTTGCTTTTAAGTCTGACGTGATAGCATTATGAAGGATTAAATAAGGAAATAGAGGAGTATTGTTGGCTGTAAAAAGGAAGGAGGATGCTGACGTCGGAAGCTGAATGGAAGACGAAGGATTAATATGATCAACAAGTTCTTTTTTTCCCAGTGCTGCATCTTTTCATCACAGTTTGTGTGGTAGTTTGAATGAGCGGATTAACAGTTTCGTTGGACTCCTAGATAGGGTCTCCTCACCTAAGAAAATTATATTGAGGAAATAAAAAAAGCTTTCCTATTTTTATACTTCTACTGAATATGCTTTTAGCTCTCTATTATGTGAAGCACAGAGAAAAGTGAAACTTGGTATATCTCTGCCCGCATCTATGGACACAATAAGGTCTCTCTTACATACTGTGAAATGCTGTTTTTCCGTATTCTGTGTGTTTTTTTAGGGAAACGCTTTATTAGAATAAGCGACCCTTGCTGAGATGACCGAGAGACGCTCAGCACCTCTCAGTGGGCAAGGAGGCGTGGGCAGGAGACCGGGACCAGCTGCCGCCTGGCCCGGCCACTGGTGCAGCCCGCTGAAGCGCTGCCAAGCAGATAAGGGCCTGAGGCAGCTCCAGGACAGTCTTTAAAAGGCAAAGAGATCTGACACACGAGTTAAAAATAAACCTCTGGCTCATTTTCAGGGTTTGTTGCTGTTTAAATAGATAGGTAGGTGGCTTGTGTTAGCAGTGCAGCAAATGGTGTTTTCCTACCATTAGAGCATAAGCCCTGCCCTCATTTTCTTCTCTGGAGGGGAAGGAGCCAGTCCCCGCAGGGCAGGAGGAAACTCACAGCAGGAGGGGAGAGCAGAGAGGCTCTCTGCCTCCCGTGCCAGTTTTATGCCAGAAAACGCCACTAATTCAAAGCCTGTGCATTTGTGTGCAGCAGTATAGCAACGAACAGTATGGTCACTATGTGGAAAGCAACGCTTTGCTCTTTTCCGTCCATGCTGGAGATGGAGGTCATCACTTTTCAGTTTCAGTATTTATTCCAAAAAGGTTAGGTTTAGGCCAGCAGAAGGGAGCTCACACACCGCTCTCAAGTTAGCAGCATGGGGAAACATTCAGTAAATAACACAAATAGGAAGTAGTAACACATACATAGTTAGAAAACTCTCAGGGTTTTCCAGCGTGTTGGAGAAGCACATCTGTTGCCCCAGCTCTCAGAGCAGGGAAAGATGCAGGTGGTGCTGCTGGGCAGGGAGCCCTGCCATGCCTGCCCGCCGGGCACCGCTCTCCGCGCCGGGGAGCAGGCTTAGGCCTCCGCTTCTGCTGACATCTGTTTGTGAAGCGGTTCCTTGGCTACTTTGTCTTTTAACGAAGCTGGAGGAAAAATCCCTGGGAGGAGGTTGCAAAGACAGAGATAATTTAGGGATGTAGGTTGCGCCAAGAGTTGTGCCAAGCTAAATGGAGTGTTATGTCTAAACCTGATGTAGCTAAGACATGTCCGAATAACAGAGTACCCAAAACTCATGACTTTGCTTAAGTTATACACTGACTGCAGGGTGGCAGGGGCAGGACAGGGGTTACGCCATGCCGTGCATTCGTATCACTTTGCATGTACTTCATCCTGCCAGTGTTTCCAAAATCTTACCACGCAATGCCAAGTCCTTGTCTCATCACTGCTTCTGCCTCCTGTATCCACCTCGACATGTGTGCAGCCTCCTCGAGCCCTCGGCACCACCGCTGTGTGTGTGGCTGCCCCGACTGTCCTTCCCAGCATGTCCCCCCTCCCACTGCTTTCCAACTCCCTCTTCCCTCCTCAGACTCGTGTATCCCATCCCCAGCTTCAGCCCTCCTCACCGCTTCCCCCCTTCCCCCTCGCCCACTTCCTCGCTCTTGCGTTTTGCCAAAATGTTTCTTTTCTGGCTGCTCTGCTGCTGTGGCCGCCTCTGCCTGCATCCTCCGTGGGGCTCTTTGCTTCAGTTTGGGTGTTTGCCTGGAGAGCTTCTGGGTTTTGTCCCTTATCAAACTTATTTTCTTCCCAGTTTTGCCTATGGGACATGTGTAATGGACGGAAACATGATGATGCTGTTTTAGTCATTTATGTATGTCTTGCCGTTAAAGACCCCTTGAAGAGGTGTATGCATCTGCTCATCCTGATCACTCACTCGCGTGGAGTTTCATCTCCCTCCATCTGCCTTTTGCTCCATTAGCAGCTTTTCTTTATTTAATAAATATTAGCAGCTTTGCCAGTCTCTTCGTGTGTCACTTCCATGCTGTTTTGCACACGGTAACCACTTTGATCTCTTCTTACTTCCACAAAGCCACGTTCTTCATACTCCAGCAGCTCACTGCTGCCAGCCTGGTCACCCTGCTACCTGTGCCCCATCCTCTTTGCACCCAGCGCTCTGCCCACGGGAGGCAGCAGGCTCTTTCCAGCTGGACCCTTTGCTCCTTGGAAAATGAGAGGCCTAGTGCAGGGCACTTCCAAATAAATAGCAATTTCAAAATTTCCTGTCGTGCTTTCAGCAAGCATTAATGGTTGGGTACCCTGTTAGCCTCATCCTTCTTTCCCAGTTCCTTTTTTTGTTGAGCAGTTTTAAAGTATTAGTTTTAAAACTAAACTGGAAGCTGTTCAGGTTATTTCTCTCTTTCTGTATTTGTACAGTGTCTGGCAAAATAAAGGGGGTTAGTCCTCTTTGGAGCTTTCGGATACTGCTGTAATTCAAATAAGTAATATTAGATTTCATCACAGTTGAGATTAATTTTTCGTCGTTAGTTTTTGAGGCGAACGACTGACAGACTTTGATACACAGTCAAGATGACTTCAGTCCAGAGCGCATTTTTGTAGATTAATTTTCACACTTTTGAAAGTTGCGCTTGAAATCAGAGTTGATAATCATTAGATATGGCAGAGTTTGAGCAGTTTTTGGCATCTGCAGCTCTGTGGATGGCATTTTGCTAAGCATCACTGACATGTGTGTTCCAGCAGTGTCTGGCTTGGATGTGTGGGGCCTCTGGTAGGAACCATCTACGGCAGCTAGTTCCTTAACAGCCGGCTGTTTGGCGAAATGCTAGAGACGCTGGTAACCTTGGACCCTGCTGCCTGGAAGTAAGGTAGCCGCAAAGTCAGTCTGAAAATAGCAATAATAAATAAATACGAAGTACGTATAGAAGTGACCCCTGAAGATTATTTTCTGTATTCAGCTCAGAAGCGATGCACTAGGTGACATTACAAGTATCTTTAGCTGTTGTCGAAATAATATTGTTTTATAATTATCTCCTCGTCAGATTAGCTGCCCTTAGGAAGAAGCATTTAAATTCATTGGCAGGAGGTCAGTCCCCAGCCAGCTTTGCGTGTCGTGCTCGCTCAGGCCCAGCTCTGAACCACGTGGTCGCCTCCCTGTGCCGAGCCAGCTCTGTGATCTGCGACAGTCTTACCCAGCCCTCCACGGGTTTCTCCGTGATCCAATGCATAGCCTTGTGATTTGGGACCAAGCTCCTCTGTCCCATAAGCCATGCGCACTGCAATTCCCCTTCCAACACCAGCCACTCACCGTGGTGTCTGCAGACGAGCAGCAAAGCAGTTCTTTACTACATACAGTATTTGATGCTGTCTTACAAATGCTGTCATGTACAGGCACTGTGAAGTGCTGCCGTAATGAAACAGGCTGTATCAGAGGAGGAAAGGAAGCAATGTTGTTTCATTTAACATGTACTGATGAAATTGGATGCTTCCTCCCCTGGTAACAATTGGCACAACTGGTTTCAGCAGAGGTGCCTAAGGGAGGCGAATAGATGTCTTAGCAAGGCAGTGTTGGCTCTGTATTGACTTTCTGGAAGGGAGATCACCAAGGGGAAAGAAGTAGCTATAAGAGCGCAAAAGTGAGCTAGGAGTGTTTTATGGCCATTCTCTAGTTTCAGTTATATATTAAAAGTCTTGTCAGCTACACAGTAGCAAGGTATCAGTTTACCTGTTAGCAGAGTTTCTTGCAGTTACAGATGTTTGCTGACAGCTGGGGGAAGGCAGGGAGAAAAGCTGTTCACTGCTTGTTAGCTAAAACATGTTATCTTCTCAGGTCCTGATCCCATAACCATTAAAATCAATGGGAGGCAGTAAATTTAGAGGTGACCTACATGACCTGCTTTGCCAGGAGGTATATATACTTATAAGATACGTTTTGGAGTGGGGGTTTTTTT